TTTTTTTTTGATCGTCGATTGTAGTAGTCTGTGTGAAATAGTGTTGAAAAGAAAATTACTAGACGAAAAAAGAACGAAAAACAGCACTGTCAATATTTCCTCTTTCTGAGTACTGCAAAGAAAAGTGCAGAAGAAAGTAATGATTTCTTTTTTTTACCATTGAAATTTATTGCGCCGTAGTCTGATTCACATTTTAGAGAAAAATAAGAGAAGAACGAGAGAGAGAAAAAGAAAGAAGAAGAAAGAGAGTATACAGTAATGTTTATGAAGAAGAAATGAAAGAGAACTCCAATTAATTCATTCTGTTACACTCCAGGAGCAGAATAGATAAAATTGTTATATTAGTACGTAGTCTGATGGCAAAAAGTAATGGGGAAACACCAATCAATGTCGAATACACTATGTGTGGCGACACCTAGGATGAGACTCATTTTTGGAAGCTCTTATTTATAGCATATGAAGTGCATCACTAATAAAGATTATTTATGAAGTCAAACTCTTCTGACCCAGTATAATCATGGAACTAAACCAAAACAAAAGCATTGATTTACTGACATCTTTCGCGTCCATTCATTCTCACACAAATGTGGGCACCGTTTAAGGGAAACAACCGTTTAAGGGAAAATATGGACACCATTGTAGAGGCACATGGAATCATTCAATGGTGACTGGTTTAGCACAAAAAGCTAGCCATAAATAGAATATATGGACCTTTGAAAAATAGAATTATGTATTATTACTTCTGTTTTTATCATAATATATTCATTTTTGAGATTTTTAAGATCACATTTAAATGTTCAACTTATTCTACCGATTTACTCCTGTGTTTTGATTGAGATATTTGTTTAGTGTCGAATTCAAGTTATCCTATGAGATATGTCGACTTGTCTCATGAGATAACTCGAAATATTAAGAATAACTTGCTCAAACCTACGAGGCGACTTATCTCATAGGACAAGTCGAGTTATCTCATAGAATAAGTCGAAATACTAGTTGAGCGAGTAAAAATACTTTAGTTAAAAGAAACGACTTATCCTATGAGATAAGTCGACTCTTGTGACTGAACTACTTTTTTCCAGTATTTCGAGTTATCCTATGAGACAAGTCGACTTACCCTATAGGATAACTCAAAATACTAAGTGAACAAGTGTAAATGTCTCAATTGAAAATAGTGACGAATCCTGTAGGATAAGTCGACTTGTCTCATAGGATAACCCGAATTTTTGGCAAAATGGAATGCCTCGATGACAAGCTACATCTGTTTAAATTTATAAAAAATTCTGTATTAATTTATTTTTTTTCAATTATTGACATATTTTTAAAAGTAATTTAATACACCGAGATGTGTTCCAATTCATGCAACCAATCAGATTTAACATTTGTGCCTCTATCATGGTGTCCGTATTTTCCCTTAAACGGTTGTTTCCCTTAAACGGTGCCCACACACAAAATTGATAATACTATAATTGAATTCCGCATGTAATGTAGCGCCATCATCTAGGTGAGACTCACTTTTCTCGAAAACAAAATATGCAGGTAAATATATCTGTTGTTTCTATACATTTTTATCAAATTTGTTTTTTCTGACCCTTCAGTTTGGACTAAGTGCATTAGTGGATATCGATTTCTACATTGATTGGATGACTCATGTATATATGTGCACAGACTATATGTCGTATAAGTTGTGTGAGAGAAAAATTTACAATTGTTACACTTGTTACACATGTAAAAGTTAATGACATCTATCTCATGAATTCGAGCTACTACACTTTAAACGATTACAAGATAATAGATTAAGGCGGAAGTAAAAAATATTTGTATATAAAATTGTGAATGTATTTGGTTGACCTTTTGAATATCTCATGTTGCGGTTTATGATTCGCTTCAAATTTTAACCAATCACATCTAGTATGTTTCGTTCTATCCGCTAATCTATTAATAAATTTATTATTTTTCCTGAATCCTAGAGTTTTGTAGGAAGATTTTTCATAACTAGTAATGATTTGAAAGGCTGTCCAAGTGTGTTGATATTATATTGCCTCTAACGATCTTTCTAAATGTATTGAGAAACGGTTCCAATACAAGTAAATAAAATCATAAAGAGTTTTTTCTTGACTAAGAATTTGTGTGGTTATATGATCCCACCCATAAAGACTATACATTATTTTTATTGCCGAGAGAAAAGTTGAATTAATTTGATTTTGCTGGTTTTCGGTAAAGAAGAACCAAGTCGAGATTAACCATATAAAGTGAGGAAGAGCAAATGCAAAAAATATCTTACGATAAATAGATATTTCTTTTTTAGGTATTTTATAGAACAATAACTTCATTGGATTATAAATTTTTCTAATCTTTTTCAGTTTTTCATCAATGTGTTTACCCCATCCCAGTTTCGTGGTGATTGTTACTCCAAGATATTTGAAGGAGGGAACAAATTCAATGCTCTGGTTATTAAATTCAACTCTTGGTATACTTAGAACAATAACGTTATGGATTAATATTGCTTTTGTTTTATTTACATTTACAAGTAACAGTTTATCTTGTGCATATTTTTCTAATAATCTCATGGTTTCTTTTGCCTTTTCTTCTAAATATGCAATATTTACTGAAAACTTATTTTCCAATGATCTCGTTATTAGTATAGCTAAATCATCCGCAAAAAGATGTGATATTAATCGAAAGAATATAGATGGTAAGAAATGATTGTGAAGTTTAAAAAGCGTAGCTTCTAGTATTGATCCTTGAGGTGCTCGAACCTGTACTTTTATAGCTCGTGAGACTGAATCTCCATAGTGGATGGACATTGTTCTGTTTTTTAACCACGATGTAATCCATTTGATATAAGAGAGGGGCATGTCGAGTTTGTTCAGTCAGGAGATTAAGGAGGGAAACCACATTTTGTCAAATGCTGTGAGAAAATCTACAAAAATCACCAGTGCTGGTCTGTTGCAAGCTGTAATAGTTAACCTTATATCTTCTATCAGTGAGATGATTCTAGTTTGAAGTCTTCTCTGTGATGTGAGAAGAAAGTAATGATGTCTGTCTAGTTATTCATACATGTTACTTAACGATATGACATCGATGGTCTGACAAAAAAAAGATATCAGATGATTAGAAGAAGAAATGAACAAATACATCTCCACAATGATTGCAACATTTATAAGGCGTTCAATAGCAACAAAAAAATAGATGTGAACATGTATGAAAACGAACTTATTTGAAATTTCATTGAGAGTAACTTTGATTGAATAAGCTGAAAAGCTATGGATGATTGCATGCAAAACGTACCACTGTTACAATAATAATGTTGAAACCGTTTGAAGTTTTGAAGCCTTGTGGATCTCGATTAGATGATTATTGTTGTGCTAGAATATTAGCAACAAATCAGTGTTTTGGATAAGAAAACTTCAAGATACTGTTTTAGGAATTTTTGAGAAATCTGGTAAAAACTGGATAATTCTTTTTATTGTAAAGACTTATTTTTTCTTATTATTGAATCGCAGGATAATGTCTCGGATTTTTCTCTAGAAGATAATGTTGATATCGTACTGCTTTGAGTTGAAATATCGATTATTATAGGAGTTACAACAGGATATGTTTAAGTTTTTATAAGATATAGAAATAACGTATTGTACAATGATCATTCTGAACCTTACTTAAGATTTCATCATAGGTTATATTCGAACTGTGTTATTATGAATAGTTTCATTTCAATTCTATAAGTCTCTGAAAGTCAATATCAATATGAAAATTTACCCAACAAAACGCGCTTAAATTACTTTATATTTTTTGTTGAAAAGTGCGTATGATTTCATATTCAAGCGCTTTTAAGTACTGCATTTCTACAAGATACCATTTCAGAGATGACCTGCTACATTGGCTAGCATAGTATTTCCATATGTAGAAAATCGCAACAATACCATAATCCCTAAGAGATCTTGACTTTTTTCACAGTCATTAGAAGACTTCGCTTTTTACCAGACTCCCTCTGAACCAGTAGCTTTCGACAGAAAACGTATTTTTGACTTTTGACCTGCCGCGTTGTATACATGAGCATCTGACTTAGACTATCTCATATATTATATTTCATCAGTTTTGAATATCGTGTTGTCAAGACATGAATTTTCCAAAATATTCATGTTTTCGACAATATCTAAGGAAAGTGTAAATATTTTGAAAAATTCATATCTTAACAATGTGATATTCAAAAAGTAATGATATTTAATAGATGAGATAGTCTAAGTGAGACTTTCATGTATGCAAAGTTGTAGACCAAAATTCAAAAATATGTTTTTTCGAAAGCTACTCGTCCAAAAAGAGTTTGGTAAAAAAGTCATTATCTCGAATAAATATGGAAAAGAATCGGAGTATTTTGAGAGTTATGCTATTCTCGTGATTTTCTACGTATAGGAACACTAGGGGATATTATTTTGAAAACAGTACAAGATCTGTTTACGAGTTACTTTTTATAATAAATCTTGTTCTCAACATTTTCTGTGCTAGCCAATGTAAAAGTGAGAGGCCTGAAGACATATTTACAAAATTTGATGAACAGTAAAAAGTAGGAATTAATTTACATTTGTTTCTACAGTATATATCTGATATTCGAACTTACAAGTCAAAAGTATTCTAACATTATTATTGAGTTATCTTCAGTCAATTAATAAATTTCAATGCGACTCTAGAACTGATCTCTACCTACTAACTATTAAGGAACTATTGAAACTCGATATGCTCTCCACGTTTTGACTTATTCTAGTATCTTCTCAATATATATAGATGGTAAATCGTCATACATCATTTTTACGAAATCGACATGCTCAATAATCCATTACTTTTTCTATGTAAGCACGATTTCTCAGCTTTCTAAGCTGGGATAAGGAGTAGAGAAAAACTATCGAGGACCTGCGTACTTGTAAAGTGATCTTGAAGAACTACTATGAACAATATTTTCTTTCTAAAATTAATTTTTCGACTATGATTCTATAAGTTGTGTCAAAGATTATACTAACTAAAAGGAAACTATTTTGTAACCTTTTCACTAATGGACTCAGTCTGATAACTCATTAATAACTAAAGAAGTTTCGATCAAAGTGAAAAATTTGTATTAGAATACTGATTATTAAAAAAATAAGAGTTCCTGAAAAATATCAAGCTGTAATTTAAATTACATAGTCGAAAATTTTGTAACTCAAGAAAATATCATCTAATTGCCATTCCCTTGAAAGATTTTTAACTGCAAAACTTTCTCTCTGATAAATGTCCAACCTTCTGTCTACGATTCTAAATTAATAAGCTCATTTATCTGAATAGTTTTTTAGAGTAAATAAGTAAGCCACATACAAAAATAAATACAACTAAACTTAGGCATACCGTATAAAGTTAAACTCCAACGTAAGATAGATCGTTTTATCTCAAAAATAGAAGTCTTTTCATATGCTCACAAGAGAAATAATTCTTTTCTTTTCGAATGAGAAGAGAGTTAGATACGAATGTCTCGGAAGAAAAAAAATGGCAATTTAGAAGAAAAGAATCTAGCAGCATAACAAATAACGCAGAGTTACAATGAATGTAAATAGATCACCTAATTAATTGCTCGTTAGTTACGCTAATAATATTTCAAACGTCGGATACGAAAGGATGAAAATGGTATAGCGGTTGGCAATGAAATAAACGGAACTGATAGTGACTAATTAAAAATTTTAAAAGATTAGCTGATTTCGAACGAATGTGTTATCAAGACTGTTATGAATATGCACATACTTGAAAGAATTTTAAAGCATAATTTAACAAACAAGAATAAATGCTTTAAAAAAGCGAATGAAGAAACTAGTTTATAGAAATCAAAAAATGAACAACTGAACTAAGAAAAGTGATGCTTGAACTAATGACAAAGACATCATATCTCAAAAAAACCTAGCTAGAAATTAGGATCGCAAGAAAAATTGTTGAGAACACGACTCAAAGCACTTTGTCTGTGTAACAAAAACCATTGTTACTATTCGCCGCTTTTTCGACAGGTGGATGGGTAGCTCAATAGATATGAGTCTTTTTCATAAATTATTTTTGTAAGTAGTAAGCATGAACTTTCTTCTGCAAATAAGTGCAAGGAAATAATAATAAAATTACTGTTCTTTACATGGTCACTTTCTTTCATTTCTTTCTCAACAAAGTCAGACAAAACTGTTTAAGAAATGCGTTAAAACGTCGTTTCGATGATTTCTTTAACGCTTTAAAAAGTATTACAAAATTTCTAAACACGTTAAAATGCGTGTTAACTGGGAAGAATCACCTAAAAAAAACGTATTGTGTACACGTATTTTACTGAACGACTATTACTATGTTCAACAATCAATCATTATCTTCTCGTTCGCTTAAGAAATACAATGCGCATAAACGAATTCATCTGTTGAGATTAGTTTAAACATAAAATGCGCAGTTGATATATTTGACGGTCGATTTTTCTTAGAACCATTAAAGTTCTTGGCTTTTGCTGTCTGTACGAATAAGTGACGAAAGTTGTGGACACTTCTACAGAATATGTATCATTCTCACCCACAGTGATTTTCGTGTGCACTACAACGTCCATGTGGATAAGGACTTCGCATATCATATAGAAGTACCAAATTATGGAAGGTTACGTAATTAAAAAGTTATAAATAATAAATCTAGATTATTATATATTTGTGTTTAATATAGTTAAAAGAGAAAAACAAGTCTACCAATGATACAATGAAAAAGTAATCACACCTCTAAAGCACTTCGTAAATAAAAGTAACTCCATGTTAGCGAGCAGGAACAATTGAAGCGTAGCTATTTTTTTGTTCTCTTTGCTTAATCGCTTTTCTACTTATGAAGAGCTGTATCCTCATATTGTGCACTGCATGATATTATCGACGAATCACATACACAGTAACTATTTTTTACGATGAGTCAAAGGAGAGTTGTACAACATATACAAAATGACATTTTTTCACTTAGACAAGTGACAAAAAATATAAATTCATCATGGAGAGATTGAAATGAAAAATCACGCTATTGGGAGGTATTTTTCGTCCGATCTCTGTTGACAATTTGTTTTAAGTTTTCATGAGTCGTGGAAATTATTCATATCTGAACTCTAGAATTGAACTAATCGAGTCTAAATAAAAAGTTGAAAATATAATATGCTATTGATTAGAGAGTCATCCTATGTAATCAAAATTAGGCTAAAACTCCGATGAAAACTGATTAAAAAATCGATTATAATCATACACTTTTAATCAATCTCTATCTAAATTTTACCATTTCCTTTCAGCTAGAATCTAAGTTTTGACAATATAGCATTACAAAAATAATCAGCTTTGCTTCGTCGATACTGCTGGAGCGCGAGTAAGTATGAGTAGGGTGAGAATCTGAGAATTTTGTATTAACCAGATTTGAGCTGATGCCCTGAATTCTTTAACTTTTATCGCTCTAGACGGTCTGCATTCTAATCAAAAAATAAATTTTAGAGTGTAGGCTGAGCCACACGTAATCCTAATAAATTTCAACCATTCTCATGCGACTACAGAAATTCTCAGATCTAATAGGCTTTGTTTTCGAACGAACTTAAGATTGATTTATCTAAAGTGCGTTTCAGAAAAAGCCTTTATTGTCTTCATTAGCATGGATATGATAAATGTTCAAGAAATTTTGTCCTAAAGAATATTATATGACATTTTTGTTCATCACACTGGTACCAACATTAAGTATTACTTTCCATAGCTGAACGTACCGTCTTGTTCCATGATTATTCGAAGACATTTATCAAAGTTCTATACATTACTTGAAAGATGGTGCAGGTGTGGGCGTGACTACAACGTAGACAACCATAACTAATCCTTAACTTACAGCCTCAGCCAAACTCGCACCCACACCCCAATCAACATAGTGAGGAATGTCTGAGTGGAAGAAGGGGACTGACCGATCAGCCGATAATCAATCATTATAAATTAGTATTGTTTTGTTTTTGCTATATGGCATTCACAGGCGCACATGTCATACGAACACTCGATTAGGTTTAGTACAAGAGGTCAGTACATGAGAAAGAAATGCGTTTTTAAAACTCCATCTGTCTCTCATATTATCGTAACATTAGCAATTTCAGTTGCTGAACAGCACGAATAGTTTGTTAGCCAAAAACTAATAACATATATATCACCGGCAACTGTTGAAAATGTTTGACTTATTGTATCCCCACCGTAAGCGCAACGATCGTAATAGTAATAGCTTCCTGATTTAGCATAACTACTTCCCGAGTACGCCGAACCAGTGTAATAATTACATGAACCCGAATAAGTCCAGCCAGTCAGATCACCGGTTTCAAATCCCCCGTTCGTAATTAATTGTGTCAAACCACGATAAACCTTAACATCGTCTAGCATCCAACCACCGGGGTCATGACGGAAAAAGAAGGATAATGTTGCTGATGATCCAGTGGCCACCCAAGTGTATGCATAGCAAGTGTAAATTGGATAAGTCGATGATGTTGGATTGGTAACAGAAAACAATGTTCCACTTGATCTCGATTGAGGTGTACATGGTGGAACGGCCGTAACTAGAAAAACAAGAAAATATTTTTCTTTTATCTGTGAAAAATGGAAATAACAGTAGACTTTTGTGAACCGTACTGTTATACAATGACGTTTTGAACATCTATTTATAGGAAGACGTTTCTCTGGACAAGTTTTCTTGAAAATGATTTCTTCTGTCGTGTAATATGATTATGCATAGGTATTGAAATTTATAACGAAGAAAGTAAAACTTTACTAGTCTGCCTTGCAGATTGTAACTGACATGTCTGTTTGATAAAAATATCAAGGTTTTTCGATCATCACTCACACGGTTTCGTCATGTTTCACATTCTAATCTCGTATGAATTGCACTGAAAGCTATTTAGTTTGGTGGAAGGACATGCTTTCTCAACAAGCATATCTTTATGACGAAGTGTTTTTTTATTAAAAATATTAGCGAGAGATCCGTTACTTGTATCGGATACAAAATAGTTTCTTTTGCACAATATACTATTAAGAGCTTAGGAATCCTATTTATAACCTATATTTTAAATACTAATATTTTTTTTTGCTTTGCATTGAAACTAAATGATAGACTACAATCATAAATATTGTTTAACACTTCAAAAAAAAAAAATTTCGGCATAAATAGAAATGATACAATAGGTTTCTAATTCTGAACGCAATGACATTCAAAAATAGAACTAATTCTTGATGAAATTCAATCAGTTTATTTAGTATTTGACTGATAGGAAGCAATGTTTTAAACAAAACAATTACACTCAATACGCAAAGTGGATCGAATACAACGCTATTATAGTTCTACTATTGCAGAGTATGAAGTTGATTTTCTTCTTGGATAACTCTATTCCTACCTACATGAAAACCATTGTTTTTTTATTTTTTAAGATCAATTTTACCAAGGCATAGGAAGTTGAAAGAAAATCAAAGTACCTCTTTTGAACATCTTCACTCTCACAGTTACATATGAACGCAATCAAATATCTGCAAAAGCTACAATATTAAGTGAGATAGCGCTTCAACATAATTTCCAACAATACGTCTCTTATATTTTATGCACACTCTCATTTCGAAACTTCTATTGGCTATAGTTAGACGTGTCAAAATTACGTAAGTGCCGAATAAAAACACATGATGGTATATGTAACCTGTTGTAGTAGTTGCAATTGTCGTTGTTGTCGTACCTGAAAACAGCAAATATAGCAATAATCACTCTGAATTATCAATGAGAAATTCATTTCTCCTGACAGGCAACATACTTGCACATACGATGTATTTTTGGATGCGAAAATTATTGGAATCAGCAACATACAAGTTTTTGTTTGCATCAAATGTAATTCCATTCGGATATTTTAAAGTTGTTGCAGTTGAACCTTGCACTCCACTAGTGCCTGCTATAAGTATTCCAACAGTTGCTCCACTAGTCCACATAACGATTCGATGATTATTCGTATCCGAAACGTAAAGATTTCCGTTTGAATCACTAATAACTGCTCGAGGGCTATTCAATTGATTCAAAGCCGTTCCATTAGAATTCCCGCCGGCTACTGTGACACCAGTTGTTCCTCCAATAACCCATCGTTGCACTCGATGATTTGAACTATCGACTACATATATAATCGATCCATTATTTACGTCTATGTAGATACCCATTGGACCATTAAATTGATTCGCCGCATTACCATTCCCATTGTTACCCGCAATGACAACATCAGACGAAGACGAATTCAGCTTTTTCATTACTCGATTATTTGTAAAATCTGAATAATAGACAGTTCCATTTGTATCAACGTAAACACCATAACAAACATTTATCTGATTCAAACCTGATCCTTGACCATTCCCTTCCAAATAAAAATGTAATCTGTTTATAACAACAAGAAGTTTAAGAGTTGCTTCAATATAGATTCGAGTTCTTTGAAATACTTTTCAAAAATATGTCAGCACAGTCTTCCAGGAAGAGTAAAATGTGTAGCCCACACGTGAATACGATATCAAGCAAGAACGAGGAAATCATAGCTCTGAGAAAAAAAAAACTTCAAGCTATAAATATAAAAATATCTGATGAGATCGAAGAGGATGAGAACTTTTTTCTCAACGAATTCTGTCTCTTATCTTCCAGGACACGCAAATCTATGAAATTAGAAAATCATATTTAAGCAGCATTATTTTCAAAAATAGAAGTGTCTGTAACGACAGGAAAGCAGAAAAAACTCTGCTTAAAGCTTAAGTTCACTATTTTATAGTCTATGATACCGTATTTTACGAGACGTAATTAATACCCGTTCATAGTCTATGGAATCGGCGCACTACATGTTAACCTTCAGAAGTCATACTCTGACGAACTATTTTAATTCAATTCTAAAAATATTGAATAATGTTTATTAATCATTGACTAAGATTAGAGATCTCACAATGGGCCAGCAGGCACCTGCAGAGCACTAGATAAGATTAATTGTAGAATATTTTCCTCAATTAAGCAGATCAGGCCGATATTTTTCGTCTGATTTATCAGATTGTTTAATATTTTGCATTGATTGATTCTCAATAACCATACTTTGTATTGACGAAGTTTTCTCAATATTCACAAGGAAATATGATTCCTCCAAAATATACATAAGCCACTACCACAGATGACAAAACGTAGCACTAACTATTGTAAGATTTTTATTAAAATGTCAACCATTAATTTGTAGAACTAGCTATAGAATAGTTAGCGAAAATTTTAATACGATATTCAAGATTTCTGCCTTCGATTCAACAGCCATTTGGTTCGTAAAGATAAGTCCCTATTACAAATACTCCTCCTGTATATATATATGTATATAAAGTCCTCGTTCAACACAGATGTTTTATTTTTACCCTACCAAGAGAATTTGTTCAAAAACTTCCTTCAAAACACATGTTTTTCTTGTTGAGCATATTAACTATATTGATCTTGATGATTTATTTATTTCTGCGTTTCATTGTGTTTTTATTCTTATTGATAACTACCATATACCAATTAGGATTTCACATTTCTACCTCAACGAGAAATCTGATGGCAAGCTTTTTTGATTATATCTCAAGCAGACTTCCACAGATTAGTTGAAAACTTGTTCCAGCATTCGCGCTAACAGTTTCTCCAAAACATATCGGAGTTCAATGCTTTCAAATACTGATCTGTTTTTTTTCGACTGCCTAAAAGGTTGACCAATATGAATCGCGTATATACTCCTGATGCCATGCAAATTTCTCTCGATTCAAAACAGAAATGAAACAACGAAACATCCGTAAAATTATCACATCTTATATCAGGACACGACCAGATGGCAAAACCGGAAGCGTCTGTATGTGTAGTATTCATTAGATTTCAAGAACTGCTTTATGGATTTGTTAGGTGAACGTTTTTTTTTACGAGTTTCCGTATGAACCTAGGCTCAATTCACATAAAGAGCTTGATCATAAAAGTCCTGTTTTACTTATGTGACAGTTAGATCGTTTTATTTGTGTAGCTAAATTCATGCTTTAGCATGTGTGTTATGGCGTGTGAGAGTCTTACAAAAATAATGTCCTGTTGAGACTTCATTTTCGTATAATTTGAATCTAGTTGCTCTTGAAAACATGTGAAAAAGCCTATGCGCCGGTATCCATGAATGATTCCTTAGAATCAAATAAATATCACAAAGGCAGATATGTCTTCTATCACACTGTCTAATGGTCAAGAATCTCACATTCATGTCTTTGAAGAATGATAGACAATCAAAAATTCAAAGTGATGTTTATATAGTTCTTTTTCGTTTTTGCTCCAATAGCTTCATATTCTATTAATTCGTAGTGTGTGATTAGTGTTGAAGCATTGCTGATATACTTAGCATAACTCTGAAAATAAAATAGATTAATGTAAGATTATCCTATCTTACTTTGCTACACTACCGTATCATCTGGTAGACTTAGAGAGTGTTATGTAAAAATAGGGTATAAACCCCTTTGAAGTATGAATTTTTCATGAAAATTACTGTAAAATCCTCACATACCAGTGTATGAAGCTCAAAAAGTGCCAGTCTGGACAAAAATTGAAATTTTTAAGTAGGAAGACTTAAGGGCTTGCTCTGCCCAGGGCTTGTCAAGATCGATAGAATGGAAAATTCGGAAAGTCATGATAGAGACAAAAATCCACGATGCTTTCTAAGAAATAGTGGAGACTCAAGTGCCAAATATACTTTAGTAAAAAAGAAAAAGTCAAATACGTCAAGACTAATGGAACTAGGTAACGCTAGAACGAAGTATTGTGTACTTGTTCCTGACAAAGAAAAGTCAGTTTGTCTGAATTGCCCTGGTATATATGTACAGATCATTAGTGAGGCATATTGTTTATTTCTGGTATAGTTTCAGATTGGATAAAAGCAGGGCAGGTGAGAAAATAATCACATGTTGGCATCTTTGATTCACACACTTTTCTCTGAACAATAATGGTATAGCAGAGATTGTTACTATACTAAAACTTTATATGATTAAAATTTGACACACAATGAAAATATTGCACAAGTACGTATCAGAGTTGAACAGAGTCTTAGATCAAGAAAAGAAGACATTCAAATTTGAAAAGAGATGATAAATAAAACATATAGAAACTTCAATGTTTCTTCAATCGACTGTGTCTATATAGGCTTGAAGAATCTCTACAAGAAGATCGTTGCTCATATAGATGTAGCAAGAAGAAAAATGATTTTTAAAAGGTATTCATTTGTGAAACAACCAATTTATTCTGCTCTACAAACTTATAAAAGAAGTCAAGATAAATTCAATTTGTCAGTGACTAACAATCAACAGCTGATTTTAATGGAAAATTTTATATTACCTCCAGCAACTGTAGTACCAGTTGATATATTGTAGGTAAACCTTTGTATTCGATAGTTGTAAACATCGGAAACGAATAGTGCGTTTGAAAGAACAAATATAGCGCGTGGAAAATTAAACGAAGTTGATGATGAACCGACACTACCAACAACTCCAGCTACCGTTTGACCGACCAAAGAGTTTGATGCGAATCGCTGAATTCGTTGATTATCTGCATCAGCAACATAGATATTTGAATATATGTCAATGGCGACATCATTGACATAGTTAAGTAAAGTTGAATTCGCACCTAGTATACCTGTCACACCAGCCACAGTGATACCAGTTGAATTCCAGCTGCTACCAGGTGTACAAGAGGTGACTGAAATCAAAAAGTGGAGGCAGTATCAATCAGGGGATATTTATGCTCATGAACACTATCAAACTATAGATAAAACACGAACGTCAATTTCTAGTGTTTTGAAAACTTCATTTTTCTTTACTTCATTTCAAACTTTGTCTCGTTTCTATTGTTCTTTAGTTCATCTATCTTCATAAAAATGATCGATTATTTCCTTATCCTGGTATTTTGACTAACGTTCATCAATAGGGATACGTATACTCCATGAATCATAGGAAAACAGTTCTCAGAATAAATCAAGTCAGATCAGAAGCAAATGATAATGTTTTAGTTTTGGCATGATTCGGTAATTATTTTCCTCGATCCTGATATGCCGACTATAGTTGCTGGTGCAGCCCAAGGAAGAAAAAACGGAGACTTTGAGCTTCAAATCTTGTCAAATCTTTAAGTGTTGATGTGGGAGTGACTGAGAAAGAGTAGGTATGTGAGTAATGATGTCCTATTCGCCCCACAACCTCAAAAATAAAGTGCAGAGCACGACATCATTTAAGTTTCTATACTTATCAATTAAGCATCCGAATGCCCAGCACAAGACTACTTGTCAAGACTTCCGAGTCTCTATGAAACAATACCATTGGATCGATTTATCACGTGCCAACCGAATCCTACTCACAAAGTTTGACTGACGCATGCCAATGAAGTATTATTAGGCAACATATTTTCTCGTACGTATTCAAGTAGGTTTCTTACTTTTACTGATGTCTGGTTGTCTCCAACATATGATTTTTCTCTAAAACATGATAGTGAACAAGAACACAGAATGCGACGCTTTTTATATGCAAATGGCAAGAGCCAGTAATATGTATCTTCTAGATGCTTTATTGGCATCACGTTTTCATCAAAACGGTCAAAACTGTTAGATATATCTTTTATAAATGAGATGCAGGTGTTCTGAAAGTGTCAAGAGTATAAGATGTATTTTTCGAAATTGGCTAAATCGTGCTGAAAAAAATTCTCCTTCGGTTAACTGTATTTTGCTTTCTGCTACGCGTTAATATTATATTTTCCATGTTTCCTTGAACATTGGCCAACACAATATTCATACTCTTATACATTTTTACAAATAACGCCAATACCTGTAGTTGTTGCTCCGGTCGTTGTTGCCACAGTCGTACTAACTGTTGTTGCAGCTGTGGTTGCCGCGGAAGTTGTTGCTCCGGTCGTTGTTGCCACAGTCGTACTAACTGTTGTTGCAGCTGTGGTTGCCGCGGAAGTTGTTGCAGCTGTACTTGCCGCGGAAGTTGTTGCAGCCGTGGTTGTCGCGGAAGTTGTTGCAGCTGTGGTTGCTGCGGAAGTTGTTGCAGCTGTGGTCGCCGCGGTAGTTGTTGCAGCTGTGGTTGCCGCGGCAGTTGTTGCAGCTGTGGTTGCCGCGGAAGTTGTTGCAGCTGTAGTTGCCGCGGAAGTTGTTGCAGCTGTGGTCGCCGCGGCAGTTGTTGCAGCTGTGGTTGCCGCGGAAGTTGTTGCAGCTGTAGTTGCCGCGG